AAATCCCAGAAAGCTGATCTTTCACAGACGATACTGTACCTGAATCTCTTACCTGAAACTTGCGATTGGCGTAAATTGCTTGCACAATGCGGCAGATATTGTTTGGAATTCCAAACCGTTGCAAGGCAGCAACTAGAGCTGCAGGGTCCACACTGTCGAAAGCCGTTGCCCAACCAAGTGCAAGACAGACCAATTGCCCATCACGTGTGGCCCAAGCTTGCTCAATAAGGCGTCGTGCAACAAAAATCGCATCAGATGTGCCGCTCTGAGACTTGAAGCCCGTTTGGGTTGCCCATATTCTGGCCTCAGCTCCTGCGGCACGCAACCGATGAAGTAAACCACTCGCGAAAATCTTGTAACCGACAGCGAGTAAAGAAAACACTTACTTGCGTCGCCCTTTTTGAACACAGCTGTAACCACAAGTAGGACGGCCCACCTACATGCAGGGGAGCTGGTGTTGCAAATGGCTTTCCAAAATTCAAGTGGCAAATCGTCAGATCCGCATGCCTTTCGGCGGCGCAGCAGTTTTGCCGCAGCCATAACTTCCTCGCCCGTAATGTCTTCATCACGCACCTCCAAGGTTGACCCCAAACTATCCTGAAAGTTGGGAGTCTCCGCGAAAAATTCAGCCAAAACTTCTGCACGAGCATTGCTGTCCACCATTTCGCCTTCGTTGTTCAACAAACGACCTTGCTTTGGGCAAAAAGTTTTCTTTAATTTCCGTATCTCTCTCCAATCCCCATGCTCCAGCAACTTTTCCAGCCAATTTGATCGGTCGCACGTCACGTTAGCTTTGATTGCAGCTGCTAACTGTTTTTCGGCAACTGCATCACCTTGTTGCCTCGCAACCAATCTATCTTTAATCAACTGCAGCGTGGATATACTAATCCACGGTTTTTTTGGTTTGCAATCCAGCGGTGATAGGCAAATATGTGCAACTTCATGAAATGCTGCGGTCATGCGATCACAAAGGTTGTTGGCCGATTCGCAATCATAGTCAACAGTCTCAGCCTGTGACATGTGTTGTTCAAACAACGCCGAAAAATGATTGCACTTCTCAAAACATTGCAGCGGCGTCAAATCATAGGTAGGTTTCAACAACCGACTTTGGGTGTTCTGCACTTGCACCTGCATCTTGGCTGTGACCAAGAAATGATGCGATGCAAGCGGATATTGCTGGTTTGCACACACATCCTCAACCAAGCTCAAGCCGAAATCAATTTGACCAAAATTGTCTGGAATCGCATCGCTGTGTGGAGTCGCTCCCACGTTGTAACACATAGCTTGCTCATGAGGCGGGTGATTGAAAAACGTATTGGCGATTGCCAGTTGATGGCTTTGACACACTTCAAGCCAAAGGCTGCGATTGGAGCTCGCGTCTGGCTGTGCACCGACTTTCCCGAACACATAGGGGCCCATCAAATCAGGATCGGAATCAAAACGCTTGTAGGCGCGCATTCATATCTCCCAATAGAACCAATGGGCCGTGGCCAGAAATGCTTGCTATCCACTCCGCCAGACTCTGATAAAATGTCTGTCTTTCATCAAGCGTTTTGCCGGGATGTGGTGCGTAGATGCTGCACAAGTTGATCTTACCGCCTGGCACACGAATTTTCAAAGAAGTCATGCGTGAAGACTGTTGACAAAAACTGACCACTGATTTACGAGCACTCGGTGCGACAAGAAACCCAACACTCGCCCTTTCCAGCTCTTCGCGCTCAGTAACCATTACCCCGGAAAGAATTAGGAGAAACCCAGCATCTGTCACATGGGAATCAGTGTTTGTCCAATGGGTTTCCTGCAAGCACAAAACATCCAACCCGATGTCCATCATGTAATGTTGAAGTTCCACGACATTTGCGTCGGTCAGACCTTCCACATTCCACGTGCCAATTCGCATGTCCCTCGACGTTGCGCGTAAATGACCACCCCGGAAAAATGCGGCCGTCACCATCCGAACTTGATTAGCAGGAGTAAGAGTGGGTGACTGCAAAACTGCTTGCATTATTGAATTCGGCGGTCTCAGTGAAACCATTGTCATGCCCATGTGTCCGAGTCCCTACTCGCGGCCGGCGCTTGCTGCTTTGCCACTGCCTTTCATACCTTTGCTTGCTCGAGCGACAAGCGCATCGGACTTATCCATGAGCTCTTTGAGTTCTGGACTTGTCTGCAAATCATCCCACGTGGCCCATTCCCCATGCCATTCGTACTTGACACCACTCTGCGTAACATGGGCCGTGAGAGCCAATTCCCCACCTACGCGAACCGAATAAGGAGCGCCATCCATGACATGCACTACGTACGGAATCCCCCAAACGTTCCTGAACAGGTTCTTCAGCCCGAAACAAAAATTTCGTGCAGCTCGTTCCACGGGGCCTCTGTCCTGTGTAGCCCAGATTTTGTTGCCGTCCTGGTTCATCCCAGCACTGCGCAACAAAGCAACTGCCATATCGCGATCCTCATGCGAGGCGAGCTCGGCAAATATTGTGCCTTGAAATCCCCCCTTGTCGTAAATGTTTCTCGGAGCTGGCCCATCTACTGAGGAAAACTCGTCTGTCAACCAGGACTGTGCGCGAGATAATGATTCGAGACCTTGGAGATTTCCGATCGCAGCAGTCAAACATCTCTTGTCCGTTGCAAGGGATTTGTCAGCCTCCGAGCGTTGTTTGTGCAGCTCTTGCAGCTGCACTTGCACTTCTTTTTTGACATCGCTAGGGATGTCGCGGGATGCAACTTGCAAGTGATGATACATCTCTTCAAGCTTAGTGACTCGAAGTTCAGTACCCCCAATGTGCACTTCCATGCGCTGCAAACGATCCTCCACAACAGACTTGAAATCATTGAATCTGGCATCGAGGTCCTTGAAGTTTCGCGCCAGGTCATCCATTGAAGACTTCATTGGTTGAATTTCCTGACGTAGCAAGGCAGCAATCCCACTCATGGACAACACGTCCTGTCCCGGTGGAGTGTTGACGTCTGCATCCTCCTCCGGAATTGGCGCATATCCCTTGGGAATTGGCACCGCTTTTGGCCGCAAAGGTGTGGAAGCATTTGCCCCTTCAGCACCCAAACGTTGCCGCTTAGAATCTTCCATTTTCTGCCAGGGATTTTTGGTCAAAGGTGAGCGATCGTGTTTTTCGGCCCAGTTTTGTTCGGGAGTCATAGCAGCCATCACGCATATCTAACCGCACAGAGCTGGAATGTCCTCACAAATGGAGGGGCCAGTTGTGCTATTTCCTGGACTTCCGCTTGCTGGAACGGCTTGAGCCTTGAGCCAAACTCCGCTCTTGAGGTTTGCCAGCGGGTCACAATTTAGCAAGTGACGCCAAACGACACTGTCAAGGTCCTCACTCGGAATGCAAGAGACGCCAGGGTCTGCGACTAAAGCCCTTCCACTTGCACAGATGTTCTGCACACTCCCGACGTTTTCATTGTTTTCCTCTTTGAGCCTGACTGCGCGCAGCTTGGGGGCAACGACGGCCCCTTTGTTCCACACGGTAAAAGCTGAAAAATTGTGCAGATGTAAATGCTTGGAACAAATTGTTGGGAGGATGTTTTCCTCGCCCAAAAAGAATCTCCAAGCAAGAAGGTCCCCAGCCAGAAATAATAGCAGGCAAGTGTGGCGTGTCGCGCTGGCAGAATAGCACCAGCTCACGCTAGCAGCGATGCAGGATGGTCATTCAGCAATGATGTTGGAGAGTCAGAAATTTGCAGCAGATTTGCATGCATAATGGGCCAATTGCAATGCGTTTTCTGGTCAAAAGTTGCCTGGTCCTGTTGCGTAGCGCGCGTAGGAATCAGCGCCATGATGCGCCTTCTTGCCTCGTGGTTGGCGCTTGGCACCTGCTTTCGCGAGTTCAGCGAGAGGCACAATCATTCTCCCGTCTCCCTCTCCCTTCCCCCTCTCTCCTTCCTGCTCACTCTCTCCTTCTCTTGCTTTCGCTTCCTCTCTCACTCTTACCCTCGCTCCTTCTCTCACTCTCGCTCCACCTTTCACTCTTTCACTCTCGTCTCGCCCTCTCTCCATCTCTCTCTCTCTCTCTTTCTTTCTCTTTTCCATGCCAATCCGGCTACAACCAAGTTTGATGCTGCTATCGTTGTTGTGAATAATGATCGCATACCATTTTTATGGTGGCAGGTCCGAATTGAGAGATGCGGTTCTCCGTTGGAACAGCGCCGCCAATACTCGCGCCGAGGTGGAAGCTGCATCTTGGGCCGGCCAATGCAATCCCTTCCCCCGGAAACCTCCCACCCGAAAAAAAATAGATATTCTTACCATAGCCGCTTGATAGCTGGTTTGAGAGTATGTCTTATCCAATGTGTAGGGGGTTGTGATAGTAGGATGATGGGAGGTATCGATTCAAGTGGTGTTTACAATGTGTTTTCTGGTTGTGTTGCTGTTCTAAGAGAAATATGATGTTACTTTATTCAACCACCAACCCAAATCCCAAAAGCAGGTAAGATATTCCCCCCAGGCCTTTTAGATGAGTCAACAGGGCCATTATGCTACCCAGTTTCAGTTTTGAATGTTTGACTTCCAGGAATCCGTATTTGAGTTTTAAAAACTTGGGGAGTTTGGGGGAATCTGTTTCTGGGGTCTGGAGTCTAGGGTCTACGGTTAGGGGATGTACGCGCGCAGGTTTTCAAGCCTGTAGAACCAGGTCCAATGAGTCCAAACGGTTACCCTGAAAAGGGTCAGGGGAACAATGTGGAACAATGATTGTAACACTTCTGGGCAGGTTTTTTTTTCAACTTGGGGTCGGTCCCCGGTAAAGTAGAGGATTATCAACGGGTATAGAATGCTATTTAAGGTTGAGGGTTTGCCTCCGCCGTATTTTCCAAGCGTTCCAGATTGGCCCACCACTGCAGTATGCTCTGGTTTATCTATATACTCATAGGTAGGATTAAATCTTAACTGGTGGGACTAGGTGGCGAGGCAGACAAAGTTTGTCTAGGTATATGGACAGATAGAAGACTGGGACGTTGCGGCAGTCGCAGACATGAGCTTCGTCTTCTCCAACATGACGCACTTCAATGCCAACATTGGTTCGTGGAACACTTCGGCCGTGAAGACCATGAAGGGCTTGTTTTCCGGAGCTGAGAGCTTCAACAAGTTCCCTGAGCTGTTCATAAATAGCGTTTCGCATGTTGTATGTATTTCAGTACCCTGTAAATTGATAATGCAACAGCAGGATGCTAGCCTCTAAGACCTTAAATATGCTCTTATCTCTAACCCTAAACCCCCCAACCCCAGACCCTAGACCCTCAAGCCCAACATCATGGCATCCCACTCTGCTTCAGCGCTTTTTCACAGCAAGCCCTAAACCCTTAACCAAAACGGTCCCAGGTTCATCGGCTCCTGGAACACCTCGGCCGTCACTGACATGAACCTGGGTTGCTGTAAAGGAACTTTTCTTACTTTACTGTAATGGGAGACTTACATCAATTACGTTCAAGTACTACACATTCCCAGTATGGTAAGTTATTTAAGTTCCTGAACATCAGCAGAGGAGCTTCATGTTTCATGGCGCTTGGGAGTTTGACCAGGCAATCGGGTCATGGGATACATCAGCGGTGACGGCCATGAGCTCGATGTTTCAAGAGACCGATAAATTCAATCAGGACATCGGCAATTGGAATACGTCCTCGGTGACCGACATGAGCTCCATGTTTGCAGCCAGCTATTTTGACCAGGACATCGGCCAATGGGATACATCCGCCGTGGTTGACATGAGCTCCATGTTCTTCTTTGCTGAGTTCAACCATGACATCAGCAAATGGGACACGTCCTCCGTGACTGACATGAGCTCCATGTTCCGAAAGTCGAAGTTCAACCAGGACATCACAAAATGGGATACATCAGCGGTGACTGACATGAGCTCCATGTTTTCTGAGAGCGAGAATTTCAACCAGGCCATCGGGAAATGGAACACGTCCGCAGTGGTTGACATGAGCTGGATGTTCTATTCTGCTGTTTTCAACCAGTCCCTCAGTAAGTGGGACACATCAGCGGTGACGAATATGAACAGCATGTTCAGAGGAAAATTGAAGTATGACAGACACGGCACCCGCCCCTACTGGAAGTATCAGGCGAGCTTTAACAATGACATAGGCAATTGGAATACGTCCTCTGTGACCGGCATGAGCTCTATGTTTGAAGCCAGCATTTTTGACCAGGACATCGGCCAATGGGATACATCCGCCGTGGTTGACATGAGCTCCATGTTCTTCTTTGCTGACTTTAACCATGACATCAGCAAATGGGACACGTCCTCCGTGACTGACATGAGCTCCATGTTCCGAAACTCGGTGTTCCACCAGGACATCACAAAATGGAATACGTCAGCGGTGGCTGACATGAGCTCCATGTTCCGAAGCTCGCGGTTCAACCAGGACATCACCAAATGGGATACGTCAGCGGTGACCGACATGAGCTCCATGTTCCGATATTCAGGTTTCAACAAGGACATTAGCAAATGGAACACGTCAGGAGTGACAGACATGAGTTTCATGTTCTACGGGGCAGACTTCAAGCAGCCGATTGGTGCTTGGGACACCTCTGCGGTCGTGAGCATGAGCGGCATGTTTCGAGGACATGAGAGCCCGGCATTTCGGGTCAGTTTCCAACCACAAATCCGCAATTGGAATACCTCAGCTGTCAGGGACATGAGCGCGATGTTTCAAGACAGCTTTATTGACGCGGACATCGGCCAATGGGATACATCCGCCGTGGTTGACATGAGCTCCATGTTCTTCTTTGCTGACTTTAACCATGACATCAGCAAATGGGACACGTCCTCCGTGACTGACATGAGCTCCATGTTCCGAAAGTCGGGGTTCAACCAGGACATCACAAAATGGGATACCTCAGCGGTGATTGACATGAGCCGCATGTTCGAGGGCAATAGGCTTTTCGACAAAAACATTGGGGTGTGGAATACGTCATCTGTGGTCAAGATGAGATCCATGTTCGAGGACACTTTTCATTTCAACCAGGACATCAATGCATGGAACATATCAGGTGTGAGCGACATGAGCCGGATGTTCCATAGTTCGAGTTTCAATTGGCCCCTGAACGACTGGGATACATCAGGTGTGGTTGACATGAGCTACATGTTCTATGCAGCAACAAGCTTCAACGGTGGAATCGGCAACTGGAACACGTCAGCTGTGACGAACATGCGCTCTATGTTCCACTATGCTCATTCCTTCAACCAGGACATCAGCAGATGGGATACATCCAGCGTGGTTGACATGGGCTTCATGTTCTACGAGGCTGCGGACTTTAACCAGAACATCAACACATGGAACACATCAGCTGTAATTGAGACGAGCGGGATGTTCCAACGTGCTTGGCAATTCAATGAGTCCCTGAACACCTGGGACACGTCAGCTGTTGTGAACATGAGTAGCATGTTCGCAGAAACAGACAGCTTCAATAGTGACATCGGCAGCTGGAACACCTCATCCGTCAAGGACATGAGCTACATGTTCTACAGCACCAAAGAGTTCAACCAAGACATCAGCAGATGGGATACGTCCGCTGTAACCGACATGGGGTACATGTTTGCAGACGCTAAAGTCTTTAACCAGCCTATCGGCTCTTGGGACACGTCCTCCGTGTCTGTGATGACGTCTACCTTCTCGGGAACAAAAGCATTCAACCAGGCCATTGGCACCTGGAACACAACATCGGTAAAGGACATGAGTTACATGTTCAATGGTGCTGAAGCCTTCAGCCAGCCCCTGAGCTCGCTGGATACCTCGTCCGTCGACAGCATGCAGTTCATGTTCCTTGATGCTGGTCGTTTCCATGTAGACCCCTGCCCGTCAGGAAAGTTCCCTGCTTACAACAGGCTTGGCTGCCAGGTCTGTGAGTTTGGGACGTATGCAGGGCCAGGTGGGAGGTTCTCAAAACCATCCCCACACCATCCCCAACATGGACCCCCCTTAAACTGATCTTACCACTACATATCTCCAGGCTAGGCCCCATTTTTGAGAGACCTGCAGGTGAATCCCACTGCAACTTTTGCAGCCCAGGCACTGTCCCAACTTGGGATCGCAGTAGCTGCAGGGATTGCGAGCCATTCCAATTCGCGCATGTCAATTCCGATGTTTGTGAGGAATGCCCTCTCCCCAGATTGTTGTTCGAAGACCGTTGCATTTGGTGGCATTTGCCGTTGATTGCCTTGGGCATTGCTGCATTCATGGTGGCCTTGCGCTTTGTTGCAGCGCGCAGGCAGGTTAGGAAGAAAGCAAGGATTGATGCGATTTTCGTGGCTTAGTAGCTGAATGAGGAACCTTTAAACTTTTGCGGCACGCAGAAACCTACTCTAGTCCGGAGGCTAGAATTTTTGGTGTCAGAAAATTCAGCAGCTTAGGAGGAGCTCTACCAGAGCTTGTGGGATGAAACTCCAGATGCGGTCAGCCAGTCTGCTGATTGTTCAACATGCCTTTTAAGTTCTTCATGCGAAACCACCAAGAGGAATGTAAAGGTTTGTTTTGCAACAATATCCCAAGATGGCATATAGAAGCTTCGTTTGCAACCAGCTCTCAATAAGGAACCCGTATATGCAGAAGTTGGAAAACTTGGGCGTGGATGAGCACACTATTAAGGTTAAGGTTGATGAGATGCAGGCGCTGCAAAGCAATACTGCTGGTGTGTGCCTGGGCGAAATCTTCATGCTGTGTGCTGGAGTCTCTCAAACTCGGGTGTCACCTTCTATGTACTATAGTAGTTTCCATTCTCTTTACCATTATCCCAAAATGGCTTCCAATAATGGAAAAGAGCATGGAAACTACTAAAGGGAATTTACGGATTGTACATTCATATGTGTAGGGACAGTAATAACACAAACAATAGTAATAGGAAAAGTAGTAGTAATGGTATAGATAATAGTAATAGTACTATAGTAATAGTAATGGTGATAGCAATAGTGATAGTAATAGTATTAGTAATAGTAATAGTAATAGTAATCGTAGTGGTAATAGCAATAGTAGGAGTAATAGTAAACAATAGTAGTAAGGAGATGAAGGGGACCCTGTTTACAGATTGTACAGGGATCGCTTTAGCGAGTCTCCATATGACAAGTTCTCAAAGGCTGGGAATTTCTGTTCACCCCCTATGTGAGCACATTGCCTGATTTGCTTGAGGAGTGAATCTGGATATTTTCATGGGGGGGGGGCATTATGGAATCCTTTTCGTGGATCCGAAGCCCGCGCTTGAAATCTAAGCCCTTTTTGAGAGCGTCCTCAACCAACGAAGTGCCAGCAAGGTGCCTGGTTGTTTCTCAGAATTATCCCAACATATAGAAATCCTGAACCGGGACCCATTGAATCAACTTGCAATCCCCATTCATCTTCAGGGTGCCTAGAAAACCTTACTTTGAGACTCGAAGCCTTAAACCCTAGTCCCTAAATTCTCGAACGCTCGGCATTGTCCGGCCTGGCCTGGGGTGCAGGCTCCCAAGCACCGTCATGTGCAAAATTACCGGGGCTCAACTTTGACTGTACATATATGCAGCATACATTTCTCCTGTGGCTCTTGTACATGATTGTTTCTCTTTGCATACTTTTTCAGTATGTCTCTAATTTCATGTGCGTCTGTACAGTGGGGAGCAAAAGTCTACCACAGTACGTCCTTGTATTTCAATTACACGTCATGGCCCAATGCAAGCTTGAAGCTTGGACTCAACCGCACAGAAGGTCAAAAGGGCTTTGTCTGGGCCTTCATCAAGCGCCCCTCCAAAATCCTAGGTATGTTGAGGAGTCAAAACAATTGCGTAGATGATGCTGACCAGAAATTCATTTCCGTGGGGGAGAGCACAGAATGTCCTAAAACTTACTTTAAAACACGAGGATCCAGGGCTTCTTGGCGGGTTCCGCGGCGCATGCATCACCCCGTACAAAGTACTGCTTTAGCTGGTCTTGTGCCATGACGACCAGGCCGGACTCTACCGCGAGTAGGAAAAAGCTGTTTTGCGAAACCCGGCATGTAAGGAGCATGGACTACCTCCTGTCAGACAGCTTTGGAGGCCTGGCCGGGAAACGCACTGGCAAGGTGGACCCAACTTTCATTGACATGAAAAGCGCTTTCTGGCTTGCTGAGGACCTTGGGTCAACGTGTGTAGGGATTAAGATTCATGGTTTTGTATTTCTATGTATTTCTGGATTGCTAAGGGCCCCTTGAGAATCATTCTTATTCTGAGAGTGGTCGCTGTAGAGGGAGCTGTGCTGATTGTTGCAGCAGTAGTAGCTACATTGTTGTATAGAGGCGGCAGCAGCAGAGCAGCCGCAGCAGCATTATTAGCATCATTGGCAGCAGCATCAGCAGCAGCATGTTAGGTGAGCAGCGGCGGCAGGGTTGGTGGCACCACTAATGCAGTTAAGTCAAGACATGGCACCTGTCTAGCTATTTGAAGATCCGTTCTAGGGTACACGAAGCAAGCCTAACTTCTGGAAGCTGCATGGCTTCCTGAGGACCCCATCGGAAAGGATCTCATTTGCCCTCGGGATGGCCGACCAGGTGTTGCTTTGGTAGATTGGATTCCACGCCGAGCTCGCCGCCAACAGACTCACTTCATGTCATGGACCTCGGGGCTTGGGGCAAATACGAGGGCCTGACTGCTTATCAATCCCGCCAGTAGCCTCTAGGAAGGGACAAAATGGGGGTGTACGTCGATGTAAGGTAGGATTTGATTTGAGTACTGGGTCCCCTTTGAAAAGACGGACACCACAATTATGGGTTTTGTTTGGTTCAAGTGTAAGGATATGCCCTAGCCACAGTTTGCATGACCCAGGAAACGAGGGTGTACGTGCCGAACACTACACTGCTGGGGTTTTCCAACCGGTTTTGACGATCCACACAATAAGAATACAGCACTTCGGGGTATTTATGGTGGCCCGAGTTGCCGGTCTGCAAACTTTTTCAAGTAGTGGGCTTTGAACGGCGCGTGCTGGGGTTGTAGCAGAATCACACTTACTTGTTACTGTTGTGGCACGCATTCTTGAACGAACATAGCACATGGTGGTAAACATAGGAAAGGCATGGCAACTGAATCGTTGAAAAATACTTATTATTATCAATATCATTATTTGTATTAATATTACTGTTCGTAATATTTGTACTACAATTTTCTTATTGTTATGATTGTTCCAGGTGTCAGATGATGCAGGAATAGCAATCAAAATCAGCCATAGAGATTCGAAACCTTGGTAGGACATGGCGATACAGTTTGGGACAAGTGAGAAGTGCCTTGAAGATGTATCAAGACACTCGTGGCAACTCGGTGCCTTGATTGTTGTTGAACAACACGGTTTAGGTCTTGAGAGTTTCGGGGTTGAGGTGTTTTAGCCTTTGGTGATTTAGGGCGGATACCGGGTTTAAGGGCTTACATGCTGATGCATACTTACACCAAACGCAAGCCAGGCATGATATCTCGGGAGGGTAATGCAGTGATATCCAAGGAGCCAGTGTTCTTTTACATGTGCTTCTTCGTCACTTGCATTGACACGAGTCAAATTTTGATTTTGGGTGTGCAAGCTGTGTTTTAGGAGATGTGCGCCGTTAAGCAGATGTTGAGAGCGTATTTAGCCTGGTATTTAGGGGAAGTGAGGTGAACAATCAATATCGCATAATTGTGGAAGCCACTACCACTGGAAGCGCAGACCTTGAGCAAGTCTTTGAGAAGAACCTGACTCGGATAGGCCGAATCTGAATCATGGTCCAGTCAGGCTTTTTTTATTTGAGGCCAACCTTTTGAATAAGTTGCCACCCCCTTTGGCCCCGAATGTTTCAATAGCCCCGGTATGGGAATAGCCACCGGGACCCTAAGCCCTAAACCTGAAACCCTAGACCCTCTAAACTCCGACCTCTGAACTGCTAGACCTCAACCCGAGAACCCCCAAGCTGGAAGCCCCCATATTATGACCTCCAGACCGAACGCCCCAAACTCAAACCCAAAACACCCCAACACACTAAACCTCTTCAAACCCAACACCCTAAGAACACCACCCCAAACCATAAACCCTAAACCTTAAACCACGAGGAATGGTGGCCATCTTAGATTCATGGCAGGAGCCCGTCTACTTGTCCAGGATATGGACCGTCTCTTGGGCATCAAACTTCTAGGGCTTTAGGATTTAACCTAGTATTCTATGGGGCTGCAGGGGTTCAGGGTTTAGGGTTTAGGGTTTGCCGTAGGGTTTAGGGTTGTTGTCCTTGAAATAGGATGTGACCTCATTTACCTATCCCAGCATTCAGAGCTTAGGTCCAGGATGTTGGGTTGGAGAATTTTATTGGAGTTATATATGGGTCTTATAGTGGTAATGGAAAGAAAATGGAAGCTACTCTGTAGGTTTGAGGGTTCAAAAGGTTTGTAGCTCGAGGGCTTTCAGAGCTTCGTAAGTAGGTCTGAATCGTTGCTGGAAAAATGTGCGGCTATTATTACATTCTGCCTATGGATTAGAAGTTTGACCAGTAAAGGGACTTTCCCAACCCCTCCAAACCTACTTGAAACCCTAGCCCTAAACCCTAAACCGAAAACATGTGGAGTAGGGATCCTAAGGATCTTGTAGCAGTTTTTTCCTGGCTTAGGGACGTCATTTGGATAACACAAGGCTGCATGGTTTCATGCAGGGGTTTGTAAGCAAGCATTCGGGGTTTGACATGTTCAGGGCCGCCAGTATGTTTCAGGGTTTGGGGTCTAAGGTTCAAGGTTTAGGGTTTAGGCTTTGGGGTTCAGGGTTTTGATTTGAAATGCGCCAGTGAGGAGGCAAGATCAGACCATTCATCGGCTCATCCGTCATCGGTTGGTATGCTTGTTCGGCAAGGGCAAACAGGATCACTTGAGTTACTCCCACTTCCATTTTTGAGATTGTATCATGATCAGGACCAGCTTTTGAATTTTCATGACTCTGGCCCTTATGGTTCGTTTCACGTCAGCTTTCCTATTCGGATCAGGTCAACACAGTATTCATGTCTTCGCCTGAACCGAAACTTAGCCTTCAACGCTGATCTTAGCATCCTAGGTCTATGAGCAGTTCGTGGCATCCAAGCTTGACATACAAGTCATGTTCACCATGCCGGAATCGTCCGCAGCGTGTCTTCGAGAGACCGTCACAAAAGGCGGGTCCGGCATTCAGGAAATCACCAGCTCTCTCAGCTGTGTCGACTCGGAGAGGGCCGTGGCTTGGAATCCAGAGGACGAGGTCAAGGTGAAGTCGCTGATTCAAGAGACGGTGGGCTTCGGGCATGTGAACCGCCACGTGACCAAGGTGATGATCACCTGGGTTGGAGAGGTCATCAAGGCGCACATCCAAGACCTCATAGACGCGGCCCATGGTGTTCCAAGGCCGCAAGCGATCGAAAAACAGAGCGAGGGCGGGGTACGTAAGCAAAGATCGGGCTGCTGGCCGCCTCTGATTGTTTAGCCGTCCGTTTAATTAAGACCGTGTAGGCGCCATCCCACAATCCAGCTCTGCTGTTTGATGTTTCTTTCTATATGCATGTGACATCCCCTTGTACGTTTCAGGGATTGGAGTTTAGGTCTAAAGGGTGTGGGTTATACGGTGCATTTCCTTCAGCAGAGAGAGCAGGGCCTAAATCAGGATTTGTATCCCCTACGCCTGCCTAGTTTCCTATGAAACAGGTCACGCCCCAGCTCCAGCCAACATGTGGACGACCTGATCACAGGTGTGGATCTCTGACTCACAGGGTTCAGTGTTTTTAGTGTTGTGGGTATGGTTTTGTTTACGTAGTTTGTGGGTAGCATGTGTCTCAACGGACACCAGGCACTACAGGCCTGAATTGACATTGACAACTTGTAATTCACGCATGGCTATAGGTGGTATTAGACTTTACAAGGAACATGCTTCAAATCGCCTAGTCTTAATTTGGGCCCTTGTGGTGGCCACAACAAATCCACTTTCTTTACCGTCGCGTGTGGGCTGGGGCCGCAGCAGTTGAATGACGTCGCTGCCAGCCAAGTGCTCCGAATTTTCGAGCACCAACGCCCAGTAGCGCCGAAATTCGTCCTTGCGGTTGCCTCCGGCAGCTGCGAACCATGGCGGTGCAATTTTCAAAGGCTACGTATGGTTTTCCCAGTTCTTACGGGGACCAGGTGGCAAGGTGTGCTAGCAAGCAATGACAATGTGTATGCTGAAGGTTTTGACGGCTAGCACTGTGCCTTGCTGCTGCTACCATATGTCGCCCTGGTGCATGTTTTCTTAGCCACGAGTGCTGACTGCATGCATGACATCGAACTCTAGCCAAGAGTGAACTAGGTATTAGGTAGTAGACTTTAGCATGAGCATGCTTCAAAACAATGAGTCTTAATTTGGGCCCTTGTGGTGCCCACAACAAATCTGCTTTCTTTGCCGGTGTGCGGGCTGGGGCCGCAGCACTTGAATGACGTTGCTGCCAGCCAAGTGCTCCGAATTTTCGAGCACCAACACCCAGTTGCGCCGAAATTCGTCCTTGCGGTTGCCTCCGGCAGCTCCCAACCATTGCACTTGGGATTTTACAAGGTTCTTACATGGACCAGTCGGCAAGGTGTGCGAGCCAGCAAGTGCAGTAGGGTTCAGATCCCCTGGCGGCAAATTCGCGCTGCACGTTTTGACCGCCAGCGCTGTGTCTTGCTGCCGCTACCATATCGCTTTGGTTCATGTTGTCTTAGCCACAAGTGCTGACTGCATGCAGACCTCTATACTTCTGGTTAGTGCAACTCGCGGAGAGTTGCTGCCCAGATTGAAAGCGCTCCCATGTGAATGTCAGCTGCTCTTGTCATGCAAGCTTTACTAAGGGTGGTAAGCTTATGGCTATGTTACGTTTTGAGTGTGGATAGAAGGCAAAGCAAGGGTGCCAGCACGAGAGATCATAGAGGAAATGTAGAAGATGAATTAGGCATTTCTTTATGGTAAACAATAGACTTCAATCTGGAGGTATAACTCCAGTCCAGTACCTGAGCACCCCCTGAAAGGTGATCCAAAACTTTGGACTCAAATATGTGAAGCCCCCAGGTCATATGTATAGTGTTAGGCATCCTTCTACAGACGAGGTAGTAAGGGAACCCATGAAAAACCCCGAAGCCTACACTTCAAACCCCAATCCCGAAACCTTGTAGTTTTTGTAGGGCAAGCCGGAGGGCTGTATGTGAGCCTGGTTTTTTTGATTCTTATGAGGGAGTGGGGACTGAGGGTTTAAGCCTTACCCTAGCAGGTACGAAGGAATTTCTTAGGAGTTATGTAAGGATGATGAGAAGGATCAATGCCTCCAACTTGCTTTAACTAAGCACCCGTAAGTCACCGTTTAAGTGATGAGGGCTTTTGAAGGTGTCCTCTTCCTCACCTGGAGTCTCACACGGACTGAGAAAGTAGGTGGAAGTCATGGGGATACTTGGCGCTCTGAATGTAATAAGTACATGGCTTAGAGCAGGGCCATACATCCTAACCTGCAAATCTCAAACCCCGAACAACTCAAAACCCTAAACCTAAATCCCAATGCCGAAGCCCTAGAAACTCCACATAACCCGCATTTTCGACTTTCTTTCCATTTGATTCCCTAAATAGGGGACCCCAACATAGACCCCCAATAACACTATGATCCTTAAGATTGAAGGAGACCCCAAAAAGCACTGTCAATTTTAAGAAGCTGCCAAATCAGAACTCTTAAGCAGTGGAGCCGAGCGTGGAAGCGGAGACCAGCACCATAAGTTGATAAGGCTTTAGAGTTTAGGTGCCTAGGGTTTAGGTTTTAGCGTTTAGCATGCCACATGTTAGCCCCTCAGTCGCAACTTTATTTATATTATAAAGGTTATTATTGACCAGAAATTTAGGCATCTAAGAAAAGGGGTCGGGTCTGGGGAGTCTAGATACCGAGAGAAATCCCCATCAGCAGGTTCATGGTCAGCACGTGTACATACAATGCCTCGCTATTTCACATTGGCCGATGTGGAAGTGCTTGCAAATCATGTAGGGAGCATTTTCAAAAGACGGTTGGCGCTGTAATCTGCACAAACATAGAACAGCATTCTCCTCCTGTTGGGTCATTTAACATGATGAGGCATATCATGGTGTGTGCCATGATTCGTCTTTTTTTCGCTATGGCTGGCGCCTGGCAACTGCTTTCGCGAATTCAGCGGCAGGCGTCCCCTTCAGTTTTTTGGTATCCATCGCTCCGATGTTCTGTCATTATTGCTGGTATATACTTGGTGCTATCACAGCCGAAACTTCCATGAATGTGACCATCGTCATTTCTGCTAGCCTGGTTGTTTATGGTACTACCATGTTTTTTTTTTTGTGTCAGCGCAACAGGTCCGAGTTGAGAGAGGCAGTTCGCCGCTGGGACGGCACCGCCGAAGACCGTTCTCATGTTGCAGGGGTATCTTGGGTCAATCATCAAGGTTTCGCAGCACATATCACATTCTTGTGTGATGTTTTTGGGTACCTTATGTCCTCGTTTAATTTCGCATTTTTGAACACGAATCTTGGTCAGTCACGGCTGACGTATCTCACTGGCTAATGTCCTGGTCAAAAGCAGCCGCCTATTTGAACATGCAATTCATTTTAGTCACACTCACGGATTCCACTTGCTGATGTTCTGGTTGAAGTACGTTCGGTTCAGCATAGAGTTCATATTTGCCGCCGCAGAGGTGTCTCATGAGCCGATTGCGTGGTCATAACCCCAAGTCTTATCAAACATGGAGCTCAGGTCAACGCTGTTCAGCTCTGCAGAAGAAGCCATTCATGTTTTCCACAGCTGACGTGTGCCCGAACCGATTTTCGCGTTGAAGTGAATCATGTTGAGGAAGACAAAGTTCATGTCGGTCACAGCTGACACGTCCCACTGTTCCATCAGCCCATATACCGAAACACATCTGGCAAAAACTATCCAAAATCATGCTCCCTGCCGCATTCTATGCCACCGGAGCAGTCGACCAGATCACGTCTTTGCTTGATGGGAGGCTATGAAGGCCAATCCAGACTTCTAGAAGCCTTATCCACTCTGCGCGTACTTGCCCGACAGGATTGCATCAGATTGCCTACGCATCCGAACCAAGGCTTTTGATTCCATAAGCCTTGACCTTGTCGCTATTAGCATTTGAATCTTGAAGCTGGAGTCGAATGTGCTGCAGCACAGGGCAGATGGGTGAGGTTCAAAGTTCTCGAGGTATCAGCAGGGTTCCAAAGAGGCTCCATTCCAATGGCTTGCAGCCAGAGTGCTCATTTGGGCCAAGCTGGCCAAAACCAAAGAGCTCCAGTGGGTACAGGAACATCTCATGGCATCTGCTGATGACGTTATCATGAGGTGGCGCCTGTGTAGCATGGAAGACGTCCACAAGGAAGTGCGCGATGCTGCGGAGATGCTTGGGTCATTTGAGTCACATGGACTGCAAGTGAGCATGGTCAAATCTGCGGCTCTCCCAGACCTGGCTGGCGGTGGCGAATGCAGGCATATACGTCGACGTGCAAACTACCTTGTTTGCAAAGGCCCTTCCGGGCTGCCACTGGTGAGACAGTTCAACTACTTGAGCATGACCATGGTTCATAAACAGCCCGAGAGTGCCACACTCTGTCGTAGAATAGTTGCTGCCAAACACGCAGCTGAGACCTGTGCTGCATGCGTGCGTACAGAACGCACTCGTTGCAGTCGCGGCTTAGACTGTACTTTGCTTGTGTTTGGCCCACGGCTCCCTATGGTCTCCTGGAGGCTGGCGTGCTAGACAAAGGGGCCACGCAACTCCATGGCCTGGCCATATCATATGAGACGTTTGCGTAGCGTTGCTAGAAGCCCAGTTCACGTTACCAGGGAGAGTCATGAGGACCTCTTACAGCGTTTGGGTCTGGATGCACCACTGGCCCGACATTGAGCAAGCAATGGCATGCCAAGGAGCAGGCGTGGCAGGAGCGACAGGATAGGTTGGCCGAACATGAAATATGCATGAAGGTCCCGCAACTGCCTGCCATGTGCCGGGTCTTGCGAGTAGATGTGACCAATCCATCTGAGAATAGTGAGCAGCTACCTCAGGAGCAATCACGCACGTGCCCAGAATGCCAGCAGGAGATGCCGACTTTGCAGTAGCTCAAGCAACATATGCGCCGTATGCATGAGGGCGAGGTGAGGAAGTTGCAGGCGGACCTTTTCCGTCCCACACGCGATGCCATACTGGGTACCTGGAATTGTGCTCACTGCAAGGCGGTCATGCAGGATCATCGCAGCCTGCGTTCTCACATAGGATATCAGGCCTGTTCCATGTTCAATCCAGCTAAGCCCGATGAGGTTGATGTTTCGATCCAGGATCCCGAGGTTGTTCAGGCTGCCAAATCACACAAACTTGAGGACATTCTGCGGGACAAGGCCAGATGCAAATACATGGCCAACTGCTGTGTAGTCTGTGGGGCAGAAGTCCAGTACTCCAATCGGGTGAGACAGCACATAGCCCGTAATCATGAGGTTTTGTACCAGCGAGCTGTTGGGGTTCGTGACGGCTGATTCAAGGGCAGCAATCGCGTTGCAACGTGCCCGTGTTGTGTAGTGTGCTTGTGCAACTTGCTGTGTTACTAGGGCCCTCGAGAGCAGGTGCATAGGGCAGGGAGACACAGTTACTGTCCGGGAGGGTGAGTGCAGCAAGGACTCAGGCCGATTGCCCAAGGAGCCACTGCCAGCGTCCGTCGAGGCATCGCATGAAGGAGCGACAGGCGCCATCCAG